TCTCGTGTGAAAAGACATATCATTTAATTGATTGCAATGGAAGACAAGACTTTCTTCTCAATCGTTAAATTTATACTCATTTTGTATAATTTATTGGTGACTATAGTGTGGTTTGTTTTATTATTTTTGGTGATTAACGCATTCATTGCTGGCAAACAGGAGATTGTCCTTTTTGAAGGAGGTATGCATTGTTTTATATAAAGTATTTTATAGTTTTATTTACATTAATTATTTAATTATTAAACTTTATATTATAATAAGTTACGGATACGTATTCTTACATTCAACATTTATTTTTTAATTTATAAAAATTAACTATACATAAAATATTCATTCATTTTAATTAACTTTAAGTTAAGTAAAAAATTAGATAAATTTTAGCAGAATGTGTTGTCTGAATATTTTATAATAATTTATTTATACCGGTACCAAAACTAATATTTAAGAAAAATGTATAGAATGTATAGAATGTATAGAATGTATAGAATGTATAGAATGTATAGAATGTATAGAATTTGTTTGATATAACTATTAGTTCATAACTGATGTGCTATTTTTGTTACATTTATGATTCATTGAACGGCACCGGCAGTCTCATTGGCACATCTATTCGCGTTGAATGTTATATTTATAGTAGTGGTGATCACCATCTCTATCATCGGTTTAATGGCTGTACTTAAGGAATGGTACGACTTGTCGCTGGCTTACGCTATACTGGAGGCTGTATTTCTGATCGTTTTGATTGTACTCCTGGCGCTATTCGTGTCGGACATCCTATTCCTGTCCATTACAATAGCCATTCAGACGTCTATAACTATATTAGCGTTTGGTTTTGCGGTCGCCGTTAAGGAGAACAACAAAATCGACAGAATTAAGATTCAACACAACTTTGTCTAAAACTTTGTCTAATTTTCATAAACATATCCACTATTATACTGACAATCAATTTGTTAACTCATATCACTATAATTCATGAACCAAAATGATCATTTCAATTAGTCAATCATCAATTATTATAAAAATCAACACAACTATTTATTTATATACAAACTTATATTCTATTAATTTATATTTTTAAAATTATCGATACATACACCAGTGATAAAGGAACTAGAGTATACTGTAGCGTTACTATTGTAAAGAAAATTTATATTCTAACTTATAATGACAACAATTTATTTGTGAACATAAAGCATCAACCCATATAGTATACATCACTTTTGTAACTATCATACTATTTAATGTTTATTTAAAATGACACATTAAAATGATTTCTATACAACAATAATTGCAATTATTGTTTATAATTTGTTTGTACCTCTTAACCAATAAGTCTACCCCTTCGCTGACAGGCTTTCCTTAGAGAATAGCCCACATAAGCGCATTTACATTAAAATGATTTCTATACAACAATAATTGCAATTATTGTTTATAATTTGTTTGTACCTCTTAACCAATAAGTCTACCCCTTCGCTGACAGGCTTTCCTTAGAGAATAGCCCACATAAGCGCATTCCTGACCCCTTCCGCAATCACTGTCTGAACTGCACTCATCTGCCAGTCTTTTCCTTCGCCTGAGTTCCTCCAGATTACCGACGCCCTCGTCCTCATCCCCTTCCACTCGAGTCTCGAAGTCCTCGTCTTCCTGACTGTAACTCGTCTTTCAATAGTAAAGAGAGAAATGAATCAAAAGTTATCAATGAATTCAATTTGTTTGATACTCACTTGAGTCAAACATAACAACAAAACAATTGACAATATAATAATGTATGTAAACTTCATTTTTCTTATTATCAATGGTTAGAAAATTAATATATTATTGTTATTTTTGATCTTGACTTTATATATGTTGTGAATATCCTGTCAAAGGATATACTATTGTATTGGTTTTATAGACAGATTTACTTATTTCCCGACAAAAATCCTAATTTTAAGAAATATAATATAATATTTATTTTTTGTTGTCTCAAAATTTTTCTACAATTACCTTTATTTCTGAGAATTAATTTTTAGTTTTATTGTATATTTAGTTTTGATTTGACATTTAAATTTTGAATATAGAACTCAATTCATTATTAAAAATTCAAATAACTAATGATTGATGTGTAAAAATACGGCAAATAATGAGTTATTTTAACTGAATTTATTTGATTTGATATATTTATTCTAATGCAAGTAAATTTGAATAATTTTAGATATTTATTAAGCAAACTAATCAAAATACAGATTAAATGGATTTTTGAAATACAAATAAGAAAATAATGAGTTGAATATGAAATGTGTGACCA